AGGGGGACTTCCCCTTCAGATTAAACTTCTGCAAAGCATCCTGGTAGTTTGATTCAACAGCAAATCTGGTAGATGTTTGTAGCAAAAGTGCTTTACAGTACCAATGGGGGGTATAAGCAGAGGTACAAACTGAAACACAATCCAGTTCAAATGTAGTCTTTCTGAGATTTTCAACAAGCCTTCCCTTTCCCTATCGTTTTCCTTCCTTCTTAAGCAGCTTTCAATGATCTTAGAAAGAGAAGTGTGAACTTTCCCCTCTCACCCTGGATGATTTATAAAAAAATTACTCTACCTGTTTGTTTTTGCGGGTCGGCTCATGTCCACTTTGATGGTTAGCGTTTCCTCCGTTGCGACGCTCGTATGTTTGTTGGTTTTCTGTTCGTTCAATCCTCGCGCCCTCTGACGGGGTATTTTCGGGTCAAAGTCATTCTTCTGTAGGCGATGGTCCACGCTTACAGGCCTCTGAGGTTCCCACTGCTGAATTCTGTCTTCTTCTGCCCACTCGGGCTCCTCTTCAATGGGATCCTCGTAGGAATCATCCCTTAAGGGTCGGAAAGCTGGTCTTTGCTCTTCAAGACCTTGGTATCCCTGGGAGGACTGCTGTACGCGAGGTTGATTCCTTGGAAGTGGGGTCCGTCCTCCTTGACCGCGATTAAATTGCCCTTTTGCTTGGCGAGGGCCGCCCCTCCCCCTGGGGTTCACATGACCTCGATTACCATATTTCACGGGGTTTGGTATATCTTGGGGCGTGGGGTTCCTCCTCGTTTCATTATAGTTGGATTCTTTCCAGTTATCTTGAAAATGGCGCCCCCTTGTGTTTTCACCATCATCCACCCTGCTGTCCGGCGCCCTAAAACGCTCCTGGGAGGAGCTCATGGGACGGGGACTCCTAGGTCGATCAAAGTCAGGGTCTCCACGACTGCTACCTTTTTCCCATTGTGGCGGTTGTCTGCTGTTTGCGATGCCGTGACCATGTTCAATGACGAGTGCTCCCGAGTGCCGAATGTCTCCACGGGGGAGGCCCACCTGAGCGTCTCCTTCAAACCTATCTCTGGGAGAGTTCACCGAGTAACGCTGTTCCCCAAAGTCCTCCTCATTCCTGTGTGACAGCATAAGAGGAGGTGACATGGTTCAACAATTATTCATGCTTAAAATTCAACTTGAATGTACACTTTAATTAGCCTTGGATTTATCTCACAGTCTATATCGAATATCTGTTAAACCTATAACAAGAGATCTTTAAACAGATTGTTTTCATTCAAAACTATTGGTTCAGTAAAATACATGCAGATTTTTAAGGAATCAGAAAGAGTTGCAATGCAAGACAGTTCATGCAGAATACAAGTAATTTATGTCATGCCAAAATAGGGTGTGATGACAAACAGTAAGGAATTTTGCTCTATGGAAAATTAGAAAGATGAGAATCTTCTGCATTCTTCGTTTCCTTGAGACAGTGCTGCAAAGCATTTTGCTTTAAATTTACCCAAGGTGAGTGGCGTCATCCATTTCTCTTCTTTGCATTTTAAAGGAGGGGTTCCTCTCCTGCTGTGAATCCTCTCTCCGTCTGTCTCTAAAAGGACCCTGTGTGTTCCTCTTTTCTCTCTCCCTACCTGGTCCTCCTCTCTGGTCATCCGATCTCACACTGGGACTGAGGTCCCTGAACCCCCCTTGACCTCTGCCCTGCTCCTCTCTCCTCCAGCCTCCTACTGGCTCTCTTTGTTTGTGGTCTGAGTGAGGCCTTGGCATCAGCGGCAATGTTTCCCTCTCGAGCCTTGGAGGCGACTGTGGCAACCTCTGCCTGTTTTCAAAACTCTGGAATATTTCTTTGAAGCCTCCTCTGTGTCTATCTCCTGCTCCATCTTGCAGCGGGGAAAGCCTCCGGTCATCTTCAAAGCCCACAGCATCACGATGCGGCGATAGTAGTCTTCTGGGGTGAAAGTCCGCCTTGGTTGGACGACGTTGATGCCCAAACTGACGGTCATCTTGGAAAGGAGGGGATCTTCTCTGGGCGTCAGGGTGCATGTCCTCCCTAAAGTAACCCCAGTGTTCCTCAGGGAAGGGGCTCCTATCTGACGGATTAGTGTCCAGGTCTGCAACAAGTTTGTGATGATCAAAGTCGGGTTCATCCCATGGGAACCTCCTGAAAAAGAAAATGTAAACAGAAAACCTGTGTCACCAATTGTAATACAGCAAACAATAAATAAACCATTAATATTGGGATTCCTTACAACAACAAACATGCAGATATTCATTTCTGAGTATTAAGAGTAAATTAAATCAAATCTAACGCATTTACCTGTAATGCGGTGATCTGGACCGTGGTCGTGACATTTTGTCAACCTTTAGGGAAATAGGTTTTTAGTTACAAAAAATAGAGGTTGCAGACAAACACATCACTACTGTAGAAGCAGTTATTACTGAACTACCTGAACTATGGGTATTGTCAAGGAAAATTGTTTTCATCTCATCTGACTGAAAATGATCTAGACTGTCTAGTTTCTAGCAACAGGGAGAAAGGTCTATCAAGGGTCACCTTTAATTTGCACCTAGATTTAGAAGCCAATGTCACCCTAAAAAGATTTCAATAATAGAAGACGTCTGTTTAATAAGTGAATCCAAACACTCCTCAAAGCTTGAAACTCAACAGCATAGACTGCAGTTACTGTAAATGATCTCCTGAAACAAAGATTAAAACTGTTAGGAACATATGTAATATATTTTATAGCTGTACAAACAAATTAACACTATTATTATTATTAAGCCAACGTAATAATACAACAAGATTAATTTTTATTTACTTGCACTATTTTATCTGTTTTATTGTGTTGCACTGTTGGAGGAGCCTGTGACCTAAGATTTTCAACGACATAACTACACTGTAGCTATGTACGAATGACAATAAAATTCTTGAGATAATTAAATGACATTTTAAACATTACGTTAATCCAAAAAATAACTGTTACATAGTTGCAAACAAGCTAACTTTAGTTGACGTCAAACACTCTTGTTGGGGTACACTGGTGAGCATGATAGCCCCTAGTAGATATTTTTAGATTATTCCCTTAACCTTCCAAAACATGAAAATGTGAAATAAATTAAGCTTACTTTTAGCTGGCTGACGCTAAAGCTAATGAGCAGTTAGCAGCTAACTTAGCTCTCTTACCTTCGTCGGCGACACGCGATGGGCTCACGCGGCAACGTTAGCTAAAGCGATGACAAACACGCAAAACCCTGAAATAAAATGATTGGTAATTTTAGATTAAAACCCTTTTTATCATCAGATATAAACAAAAGCTGGCTAAATGTGTTGTGTTTTTAATTAAAGTCTTCAGGAAAATGGCTGTTCACTTCTCTTCACTGCGGTAAACGTTGTGGCTCTGGGGTGTAACTACCTATGAATGGTAACTACCCGATACGACACTTCCGCCACGGTCTTTTCAGAATAAAAAGATTTGTTGTTAAATCTACAGATGAACACATAACATGAACGTATAAATCTATGATGTGGTTATTTTACATCAAGAAAATAACACGTCAGACTTTCAAAGTTGTAATGCTGACTTACCAAAACTATTATTTTAATTTCTAAAATTGTAACTGTAACATGTACCTCAGGTCATATTTATATTAACCTTTAATTCTAACGTAAAAAACTGTGCAACTCCTCTAAATTAAAGCTTTACACACGGTAAAAGTACCTTCAGTTAAAGTGGACCTATCATGCTATATTTGAAATATATATTGTAGGGCCATACCTATATAAAACATGTCTGTGAAGTTTTTTTTTCAAAATATGAGGCATGGCTACAATGGGTGATCTGTATTTTGAAAAAAAAACTTCACAGACATGTTTTATATAGGTATGGCCCTACAATATATATTTCAAATATAGCATGATAGGTCCACTTTAACTGAAGGTACTNCACACACATTCAATACATACATAGAGTATGATGGCTTGAACTAGTGGGAGAAATGGCACTGTTTGTCTGTAGCCAATGCCTTGAACCTCGGCAAAAATGGCATTAGAAAGTCAAGGTAAACTTGTGGTTAACTTGCGGTCTGCAATGCGTGTCACGCTCGCGCACACAAGTAAATATATATGCACGTTCATTCTCACAACNATTGTAGGGCCATACCTATATAAAACATGTCTGTGAAGTTTTTTTTTCAAAATACAGATCACCCATTGTAGCCATGCCTCATACTGCTCAAACCCCTCTTTTGCAGCCCTGTTAGAGAAACGCGGATCTTGGGTCCTTAGCTTGAAACAAAGAAAGAAGAGGAGGCGGAGCTAATGCCTGATCAGAATTCTACCGGAGATAAAGTTAAATTTGGTTGTGGTAAAACGCCATCCTGTTGTATGGAGCTCAAATGCTTTTTCTCTTGCAGGTTTATCACAAGGTGAGTTCTTTTTTTATTTCCTGCTTTTTAAACACATATTACGTCCAAAACACGTCAGGCATTGTTTCTGATAGCAACTTTCTGTGGGTCCGCCGACGTCACAGCGGATGGAAATCTCTATCCGCTCGTTGTACACCCGATTTAAAAAGATTTGGGTACAGAGGGTTTTATATACTGACGCTGCGTGAGTTCCCCGAAAGCACCAGGGACACATATTTATGTAGACATCACAAAGTGCATTTTGCATGATAGGTCCCCTTTAAATATTTGCAAAATGTATATGGTTGGTTAGACTTAATGTTGACAAACGTGTTTTATTTTGAAATCTGCAAGGCCAAACCGGAAGTTTAGTTGTTTTTGATAATGAAAATGTAATACATTATCTGATATCAGAGCTATACTCCTATACAGAAACTAATAAAAATAGAGATAAGATTTTAATTTCAGTGCGGCAGAATGTGCAAAATATAATGGACTACATTTATCATCTCTTATGTCACTTGATATGAATGTATGCTATTTTGTTTAACTTCTCAATAAAAGTGTCTGTTTGCATTACAATACGTTTGTTTATTCATACCAACTTAATGACACAATAGGCTTGATGAAGTTTATTGTTCATTTCAGCAGTTTTCCATGCACCACATCTACAATGATATATTCCACCAAGCTGCAGTGTCACAGAGTTAAGTAATATTAGGATAAACATTATGTCCTTTACTTCATATACACAGGGACCCCGGAGACCCTCTTACAATGAGCTTCAGCAGAATCTGGAGGAATAAAGAGTTAAAGTGGAGAGAGGGATGCCAGCAGAAGAGTGAAAACATAAAACAAAGTGCTGAAGGTTGCAGCAGTGACAGCTTTACAATTTGTCCCCTCAATGTGGCACCTTATATGAGCAGTAAAGACGTTTTTCTGCAACAAAGGGTATTTTTAACAAAATGCTTTGCACCTGGATCAAAAGCTTTCTCTATTTTACTTTTGCCACCCAACAAAAAGTTCCTGTGACAGTGATCATTATTTTTAGCCATGGTTGAATTAACCTACAGAGGCAAAAAAGAAACTCAGCGAAACATCAGCTTACTCTTTCCCTTCAATGTAACAGATCTATCAAAAAATATGCATAAATGGGTCACGTTATAAATGTAAATAAAAAAAAGTGATGTTCTCTAATATGTCTGGAAGTGACGTAGATTTATAATGGCATGAAAAGTTTACAAAATTAGAAAAAGAATGTGATTTTGCCAAAATACTTAGATAATTGAATTGGTGGCATGTTGAAGTATTGTTCAACAAAAATATAAAAATGAAGTCAGTCCATAATGGAGGAAGAAAAACAAAATATTTGAATAGATAAAATTGAAAGTTATTTGTCGTTAATATGCAGAAATTGTACAATTTAATTGGTGCCTTTAGGGAATTCTGTGTTCTTCACCAGAATGACATACCTGGCATATGGAAATAATATAGTGAGAACAAATGTACAGAAAAAAAAATATTTCCTTAAATACACAAACAATTGCACAGAGTTTTGTTGGCCATTTTTTTAAAGTTCTACAGAGGGGAGTTTGAAATGATTACCTCAGTCCTTCTACAATCAATCATGACTGTGGACCTGATCATGTACACATGAAACCTTATGTGGCCCTTGAGATTCTGTGGCCCCTGGAAAGTTGCATGCTTTGCCCTGCAGATCTGCGTTATAAGATGCAGCTGAAACTCATACACAGACTCAAGGGAAATGTGTAGTTCTTGTTTCTCTTCTTTCAAGATGTTACAGTAAAAAATGGCAAAAATGCACATGCTGAATGAAACACAGCCTGAAGGCAGAGCGCAGAGGGCGGGTTAGTTTTACTTCACAGAGGTGTAAGGCCTCAGAGGTGATGAGACACCAGACTTCTGAATTGGTGAGGTATATTTAAGTTTCGGGGGTGGGGAGGTGAGCTGAGGTGTAGATACAAGCGTCTTCAGAGCAGTGGAACACACAACTACTGTAAGTGCACATTATTAACTGCAGCTTGCGTGGTTACAGTCAGTGCCAGACAAATACACAACACACTGTGTCAACGTTTTCCCGACCTGCAGATAAAAATACAGGACTTTTTTATTTTTTTTCCCGCTTCTTCATGTTTTTGCTGTGGATTGTCCGCAAAACGTCCACGAGGCAGCAGAGAAACCTAAGCGACAGGCTAAGTGTGATTAAGGGTCAACAGCGGGGGTTATAATGTTTTTTATCCTGTGTCGGGGTGACAGGAAATCTACAGCAGACTAGGATTTTATAGAAGTCGCTGTGAGCAGAGGTGAGATAAACACACACATAAACCATCGGACATAAATTCCCACACACTGTTCAACACGGCTACAACCATTAACAGCTCAACTAGCTAGTCCTCACTGAAGATGCTACACAGAATTCACAGGATTTTTTTACAGCTTCCCCTCCAGATAAACTGCTGCTATAGAGCCGCTCGTCCACCCAGCTGGGTCTATTTACAGTTTTACAAAAGCAAGGATGAGATATTAAAGCAGGTGATACTCGAGTGTTATTTTGTGGCAGTGCAGCTGGGCAATACTGGCTTCAACAGATGAAATGATGGCAAGATGATGTGGAATGTCTGGGAATTTCAGGAGATGTAATCTGTAAACTAAAGCTTAATTGAAGTCTGCAGATTAGAGCTGACTTTGAACTAAAACATTCCCAGACTCATGCCTTTACAGTAGGTTTTATAACAGAGTGTGTAGCGAGTTTCTTTAGTTAACAGTGTTTTTACTTTCCCAAACTCAACCTTTTTTATTTGACATGCAAGAATGCTGATCCCACTTCTTTCTCTGTTACATAATCGTATTCATTTCTTGATATATTTCACTTTATTTGCATGATTTCGTCAAACTGTGTTGTGTTTTTAAGAGTCAGAATTGCCCATTTGCACTGCCTCAAATGTTTTGCCAGAAGCTCCACTGTTATGCGTTGTTTGGTAATACAGATGTGAAATTAGTTGTTCAGCATTTGTTCTTTGTGGAAATGTTGATTGTTGGTGATGTTGCAGACAGAAGCGACGCTCTTTTGGTCTGTTCCTCCTGTTTCTGTCCAGCATGCCAGCTCCTGAGAAGGTCCTGAGGCGGGACATATCAAGAAAGAGAAGTGAGAATTATCAATAAAGGTGCATGTAATAAATTAGGTCAATAAAAGTGTGGCAAGGTAGATAAAGTTTAATATATACAGTATACTGTATATATATATATATATATATATATATATGTAGAGAGAGAGAGAATAATGAACATTCTATTCTACTTATTATTAGTATAATTTGTAACAATATAAAAATATATATTTTAAACATTTGTGATTTCTACAATTCCAATAATGTTACAATGAGAGGGCCTCTCACGAAGGTAAGACAGATTGTTATGTTGAAAAAATTAAATAACCTACATGGAAGTTTGTTTGTGTATTTTGAATACAAAAAGAACATTTCAAATGTCTGTACTGTAATGTGATAGTCCTGTTACATTTGAATTGTTGAATAAAAGAGAGTGCATTGCAGTGTTTTTGTGATTTTAGCATAATACAACAGGTGTTACAGGTGTGCCCGGTTCTACGGGGGTGCATAAGGGTGCATTGCAACCTCAGTTGAGTCGTTATGCACCCTCATTTGAAAAATGAAAAGTGAAAAAAAAAAAAATCAGAAAAATGACAAGTGAAAAATATTACATGTATAAAGAAAATAAATTGTAATTGTGGTTAAATAACATTGTTTGCTGCATTTATTTGGTCAATTTAAACGGTAAGTAATTTTATTATGTCAGGTGTGCGTGACCTGTGCCGCTGCGCATTCATCATCTGCAAGGTGCTTACACAGCAGTCAATGATGGACATCAGAAAATGGTTAAAACAACCAGCCCTTATCGCCAGCAGTAACACTGCATCTACTGTAGGTAATAACAGTTCAGATCATGGGGACATTACGTTACCCGCGGCCACTGTCGTGGACACTAACGTCCTCCCGCCCGACTCGCCAGCTTTGCCCGCTTCGCCCACGGAGGCGGAGCAGCCGCAGCCGTCTTTGTTGCCCCAAACACCGCCACCCCTCGGCGGCCCGCAAGTGCCAGAGGACCTCGGCAAAACAGAGCCGAGGTCTATTTAAGAAAGTACACAACTCGCCTGTACAGTGGGGTAAGGCGTTCATTTTGCAGCTCATGGTTTCAAAACAGAGATTGGCTGAATATTCATGTAAAAAAGACGCCACGCTCTTATAGGCTACGTGATAAGGGATTGGGAAGGCATGAATCAAGCAAAGAGCACATAGATCTCTTAATTTTGCTCTCAAAGTGCACCAGATTGATGCTTTTAACTTCAATATTGAAAAAAAATCTTCCCGGGGGAGCATGCTCCCGGACCCCCCTAGAGGAGGTGAGGACCCCCCTAGAGGGTGTTAGGTCGACTCAACACTTGTAAAAATAGCACTTTACCACTGCACCCTCTCTAATCTCAGATGCACCCTGAGTCATTTTGTTCAGGAAACCGGGCCTGTACTAACCTGAATGTAAAAAGAGTGTTGAGGTTGTGTATCTGATTTTGAAGGGGGGTCTGTACCTGGCTACTGGACGTCCAGCTTGCTGGGGCCGAGGCTGTGGATGAGCTGCGAGGACTCGGAGGAGGCGCTGTACGCCTGGATCAGCAGATTCTTGTTCAGGTCCCCCACCCCGCTGCCCACCTGCAGTTTAGGGTAGGGGGCTGTCTCGGCTCCCTGCAGCTGGGCTCGGCCGTGAGCCTCCAGGTCCATCATCAGGTCCCCCCCCTCTGTGAGCGGGGAGAACTCATGAACGCTCGGCTGCTCGTCCCTAGACACCGGACTGATGGAGACAGATGGAGAACTTCAAGACACGATGGTGACAGAGACAGGATAGTCTATAATTATTTGAGCTTTTAAAAGTCAGTAGACATTTTGAGGTTTCGTTGACAACATGAGATCAGTTAGCAGTTGCCGTGTTAATACATCTTGTGACATTTTTCTACCTTCACCTCAAACGTCCAACAGAAACTTCTGTCTGTTTGGATGAGTTTATGGGTCGACAATGAGATGCAAGAATGGGTGAGACAGACCTGGTGAATATATAGCGACTCAAAGCGCTGTTTTAAGATGCTAGAACGGTTGCTGAAACTGTGAAAAATGTAATTGAGCAAGACGTTTTGAGAAAACACCTGAGAGACACACAGACAGGTGGAAGACTCTGACAGAGACAAAGGCGTCTCACCTGACGTCCATGGACTGGACTCCATCAGACAGCTCGTCCACAAAGCTCTTGTTCTCCAGGGGTCCCAGCATGATGAGGGGGGCCTCAGCTGGAGTTGGGGCGTCCTCCTCTGAGGGGACCCCAGCCACGGGCCTCAGGTCAGTCACTGCCATCACAAAATGTAATGGTCAGTTGCTTTCAAAATGCTCAGCATCACTATCAAATCTATACTGACAGAAAACCAGATGGTTGATAATGACTAATTCGGTGGAAATAAAAAGCTGTCCATTATGTACACTTTCAGATTATGAGCAGTAACAATAAAGTGTGCTGATATCACAGCAATGAAAAGACACTTTGAGTTCAGAGAGGTCAGTAAATGCTGCGGTATACTTGGTGTTGTGTTGGTGTTTTAACCAGCAGGTGGCGCTGCTCTCCTGCCTGTATAACGCTGCTGAGTCACACTGCAGCGACTCAACTTATCTAATTATACAGAAACTAATTAAGCTGGAGGAACAGATAAAGTTTTGTAACATTATTAAAGGAGGGTAATTTGTGTTTCTTTCACCTGCAGCACCAGACAGAGGCTCCACGTCACTCTTCCTCGTCCTCTTCATGATCTCCTCAATTCTCTGTAATGGAACATTTGATTTTGTATTATTTGAATGTTTTTTTTACTTTTTACTTGCAATGAAACGTATGTGTAGATGTGTGCTACCTTCTTCCTCTGCAGCCTCTCCTGCTCCTCCTGCAGGTGCAGCAGCTCTCTCTCCTGCCTCTTCCTCTCCGCCTCCTTCTGTGCTCGCAGGCAGGCCTCCTCCCTCTGAAACATCCCATAATTCACATTTTCTGTCTGTACTTCACAATTAAGAGTAAAGCTGAGTTAAAGTTGCACATTACACATTCATTCAAAGTATTTCCACTTTAAATAAAGGCTTTAATTAAGAAAGGGGAAAATCCAAATGAAGACCTATCATGGTTTACCAAGTGGCTCAATGATCTTGTTTTCAGTCTTTAATGGTAAAAATGAACAATGGATATGTCCTTCATTTTGTATCTCTATTCATCACAAGGAATAATAATTACAAAGAGTCCATGTATATATAAACATGTCAATTAAAAGTATATACAAATAAAACACAACAGTCAAAAAACTAAATGAAAATGAACAAATTCATTTATTATCAATATAGTTTTAATAAAAAAAATTCTAACTAAGGTTAATTACAATGTGTTCTTTATTTGTATGTCATCATCTCTAATGTATGTTGTCACAATGTACAGTACAGGGGTGTATCAGTGTGAGTGGTTTCAAACTCAATTAGTTGTTTCCTGGTTGCTTTATTTGTACGAGTACAATATACACTCAACAAACCACAACGGAGTAATGGTGCTTTTAAAAGAACATAACATTTACACAAACAAAGACATTGTGCCCTGACCTCTTTGTCCAGCTGATCCTGCATGTCCTTCCATCTCTGCTCCTTCTGCCGTCTCTCCTCATCCTCCCTGTTCCTCTTCTCCTCCTCCCGCTTCACTCTGTCCTCCTCCGCCTGCACTGCAGCTCGCTCCTGCCTCTCTCTCTCCTCCTGCTGCCTCCTCTGCTCCTCCTCCGCCCTCAGCCTGCAGGAACAAAGCAATTCAAATGACTACATGCCTTTTCATTCTGTGTCAGCGTAGTTTCCCGACGTAGCTATGCTTTAACACACGTCGTTTGGCGTCGTGGGGTCTATATTTTTTACGTGAGCCTCTTAGAAATAGACCTGGGATTTTATTTCGGAAATAATTGAAAATAGTAAATGATGGGAGACTATGTTGGTCCCCGTCTATAACAGATAGCGAGACTACAAATGATTTTATTGTGTAAATTACACAAAATTCAAGAATCATAAAAGGAATTTGTAATATGTTAATAGTTTCGATTTATTTATTATGTTAACATGTTTTAAAAATAATAAAGAGTTGGTTACTTAAACAGGTTATTTTTTGATTTTTCAGCTTCAGCCCAACTAATATGATCCATTAAGATACATGCAAAGTGCACATTCATACCTAAATACACATGCAAACATGCATATTAGGCTAATTAGTAATTACTGATTATCTAACAATTATTTTCTCGATCGATCTATCGAGTTTCACATTCGCTATATCAAAAGATGATTTATACCTCAAAACTCAAAGATATTACGTTTCCAATCACAATCAAAGAAACATTTTAAAAGGAATTACTTGGAAAAAAAGACATATATTGATTAATGTATTTGTGAAACCAAGAGTGTCAGCTGTAATGCACCCCCACCTCTCATCCTCCTGCCGCTGCTTCTCCTCCTGCTCCTTCTGTATCCGGGCCAGACGGCGTCTCTCTGCCAGCAGCCGGGACGCCTCCTCAGCGTCTGTCGTCCCTCCAACGCTCCGCCCCGTGGGCGTGCTCGGAGACTCTGTGTGGAGGCAAAGATGGTGCAGCATGACTTAACATAAAAAACCAGGGCTGGACAAATCCTTCAGGAGTCAGGAAAAGATGCAAATCAGACCTAAAGTGTTAAATACAGGCAGGTTGTGCAGAGATACAGTGGTGTGTTCATCTAGCTCCCCACAAAACACAGTGCCTTTGTTTTGGGATTGAATCCGTGGACAGACGTTTAAACCAGAGCGAATATTTATTAAAGTAGTAGTTTTTACCTAGAGAACAAAGAAGACAAACATATTCAATTTATAATCAACTCTTCTGTGTCTCATTCTGTCCACAAATTCTCCTTTTGTTATAGGAACACATTTTTCAATTCAAAACGGTTTCATTTTTAAATGGAATCATAGAAACTTTGTAACTTTATTAATTTATGAATACTATTTGTATACTCTAGGGTTCATGATGTTGTTTTTTGATTTTTATGTTTTGACTGTTTTTAGGTCAGGTGAGATCAGGTTTAAATCTAATGGAGGAGACTTCTTTAGTTTATCCTTCTTTATTATTTGAGCCCTTTTTTCTTTTCTAATTGACCTCTTTTTGAGTTCATATATTGGTAATGTAAGTCCCTTGAAACAATTATTTCACTTTATGAAATCCAATTTCTTAAATGTTGCTCCCTCTTTCCCTGGAGAGCTGGGTGATAACGGGGCAAACCTTAATTCAAATGTCAAGGTTTTATGATGTGAGCAGCACATTGACTTAATGCTGTCTTCAGATATTTATTCATTCCCTATAAAAAGGTGTCTGAGTAAATGCATCTGAATTTCATCCAGGTGGCTGAACTCACTTCCAAACATTCACAAACACACTCCCTGCTCCGTTACCTGCGTTCAGTTCTTTGCTGGTGGATTTAGGGATCCTTTTCTCAGAAGTTTCAGATTTGTTCGATTTCCTCTCCAGGGTGGTGTGACCCTTCCCCTCAATGTGACCCCTGTCATCAGTGCCGGGGGTGGTGGCCCTCTGCCGGAGCGGGGAGGGGGGGTACTGGCCAGGGGAGCAGGGAGACTGGGCGCGACTCCTGTTGGACCTCACCCTGAGAACCAGCACAACCATGTTAGGTCACCTGGACTGTGATCTGTGTGTTTGTGTGTGTGAATGTGTGTGTGTCTTACCGTTTCGGTGTAGCGGGGCCCTTGCTGTTGGCCCTGAAAGAAGAACTGCGGTTGGGAATGTTTGAGTTATCCCCCTGCAAGTCACCAAAATGACAATTACATTATAAACAGGAATTCAATTGTGAGCCAGTGTCCCTCAAATCTAAAAAATAATAACATCTGCAAAAAGTAATCTTATGGTCACAATGTTTTCTGTTGATGTTTCTATAAATCAACTTTTCACCTGCTTTTGACACTTGAAACATCCTTCTGTAAAATACTGAGCTGCAACAATAGCATGTCAATTATTCTGACTTTGGTGCACTTCTGAGGCTTGATTCAAAGATTCAGCTCTTTACTTTGCATTTCACGTTAAGAGCTACTCGGTCACATCAGGACAGAATTCTGCTGCATTGCTTATGCGACACAAAACTTGATGAGGGAAGCTGAACAATTGATTGTATTCGATAACGGTAGACAGTTACAGAATCTACCTAGATATATACAAGAAAACATTTTACCACATCAGTTATATCTTCTTTCCAAAATAAACCAGCAAGGTTTGTGGGAAATGTAGTCTTATTGTGAAGAAACAATAGCAACCTTTCCAACAAGTCACCCTCACACACATGTCTTTGCAGTAATTCTACAGATATTGACATTAATGGACACATAGTAGGAACCTGAATCTACAGATTAAGCGTGTGTGTGTGTGTGTGTGTGTGTGTGTGTGTGTGTGTGTGTGTGTGTGTGTGTGTGTGTGTGCATTTACCTGCAAGATGCAAGCATGACCACAACAAAACAAGACTTGCTAATGTAGCCTTTGAGTCTTGAACAGCTCACTGTTAATGATGCTGTGTGTGTCTAGTTCTATTTGTGTGTGTGTGTCTAGTTCTATGTGTGTGTGTGTGTGTGTGTGTGTGTGTGTGTGTGTGTGTGTGTGTGTGTGTGTGTGTGTGTGTGTGTGTGTGTGTGTGTGTGTGTGTGTGATGGCTGACCGTGGGTGTTTTGGCTTTGGTCTCTTCAGGCATTCCAGCGATGCTCCTGCGGTTGGAGGAACTTCTGTGCGGTCTGTGGTTGTTTGGGGAAGCTAGTCGATGAGACACAAAAGACACTAACGCATCACAAACCAACACACATGCAAAACACAAAAACGCACAAATGCATACAGACCATGACGATAAATACAGAAAATCAGAAACTCCAATTAAGTGAAGATGATACACTTGAGCAAAATATTCAAAATACAACTATGTGTGGTAATTCTCCTTTTGATCAATTCTATCAGATAATCACTAGGATAAAATTGTATTGCATGTTTTTTTAACGCTCTTTCTTACCTCTCTCTGGTGAATGGAGGGCAGCTGAAGAGTTGGAGAGCTGTTTGTTGATGATCTGATCCATCCCTGGTGGAGACAGGAAGTCACTGACTGATTAAAAAAAACAAAACACACAAATTACTCACAGACACACATGACAGAGAATCAGAGCACTGCCTGCTGGGGCTGTATCGAAGGAGGATGTAGATGTCACGTTCAATAAAAGGTCCCGAAAAACAAACACCCATCACACGACAAACACAAAACTGCTGCCTCACACAGAAAATAATCCAGCTGATCGATAAACCATGCAGGCAGGAGAATAAATTAACCTTGGTGATGTGAAATGAAGCAGAAGAAACCAGAGCAACCTGCTTCATCATGAAATGGAGGCTGATGATTCAGAGGCTGCCGTTGCAGTCCAATGAAATATTTCCAGAGCTTGTGAAGGCACCATGACAACATCAACATGCACAAGGTAACCAGATTACTGTGAATCACAAGAGTAGGATTATAATGTGATTTTTGAAGGTTCATAGTTTTACAATTTCCCAAATACTCTTTTTTGTGATGTGATGGGAAATTATTTAGATTAACTTGGTTTGTTAATATTAACAGAAATAGTTTAAGTACTGTATTTGTTTAATGTGCTTTCTGGTGGTGATTCTAATCTAATGAGAAAATCAATCATTTGATGCAGGAGCGTTTTAATTTATATATACACAAAAAGAACAAGATAACAATCGAGAGTTAGAGCTGTTGACTTTGGGCTCCAAAATATAAGAAGTATACGTTCTTATGTCAAGCCAACTTGAACAATGTCACCATCTTGATGAAAGGGAGCCACGCCCCTAAATACAAGCTATTTCTGTTTTACTATAAATAGTAGCATAGTTTACTAAATGAACATCATGTTGTATTGAAGAGGACTTGAGTCTAGAGATTAAGACTATACAATCACTAGAAACATGTTCATTTAGGTAATAAATCAAGTAAGAGGTAGGGTCATTTTCTCATAGACTTCTGTACAATCTGACAATCAGACAAAGGAGTTGCGCGCTGTTACATTACAAATACTATAGATTTACAGTAAGGCATGTATGCATTCCCTTCAATTTACAGACACTGAGTCTAAGTCCACTTATTTTGCACAGTGTTTGGTTTGAAATAGATTGAAAGTGCAGATTTTTCTAAAATACCCTGCAGGTTTGCGGCACAATTGCAGCGGTTCAGCAAAACGGCAAAAAATCAAAAGAAAAAACATACATTTCTACAGGGGCTGTTTCTGTAACAGGGTGTGTGTGAATGTGTGTGTGTGTGTGTGTGTCTGTTTTAATATGATCTTTGCCCGTGTGTGGGTGTGTTCCAATATGATGTGGGTGGTAGGTGGGGTCTAATAAGTTTCCCAGATTGCTGCAGGGTAAATGTCAGGAATGATATACGGTGTGTGTGTGTGTGTGTGTGTGTGTGTGTGTGTGTGTGTGTGTGTGTGTGTGTGTGTGTGTGTGTGTGTGTGTGTGTGTGTGTTTTATAGTCTGGGTTCCCTGCTAAGAATGATATGTATGCATCACTACTCACAGCCCTGGGCCTGGAAGACAGGAAGTGGAGCAGCCCTTTGTTGTGATAAGGGTGGGGGTCTGTGTGCTTGTTTGTGTGTAGGGGGCCTCCAAACCAGACACTCATTAGCAACAGAGGTGGAGTGGATATACTGAACGAACCGATGAACTGAAACGATGATGTTTCTCTCTCTGTTACACACTCACAGTCACATTCAGCTTGTGTTTAGTAAATATATTTAATATTGTCTCAAATTCCTATCTAACTATACACTGTCTGTTTGAAATAAATGAAAGTGTCACTGTATTTATTCAGCAAAAGATTGATTTTGTTGTGATTTAAGAGATTTTTCTGCAACCAGATACAACCCAAGTACTTCTGCAAATAGAAACAATCTCTAGTTGAGATTTTGAAGGAGATACCAGCGCAAACTATAGTTACCCAAAACATATTTTGCTACATCTTTGTGCAAATATTTGTATGTATGATATGCAATGTATATGTGAGGCAACGTTCCTCCACTTCTGGTAAAGAACCATGGGACCTTAATAGATGGATACTTTATTCATCCCAATTTGGGAAATTATTTAATTATAATACTATTTTGGAAAATATATGCACTGCAGTCAACAGTGACAGAGAAGAAATGGGTTGACCTTGTTTGAATCTCTCCATGAATAACACATATGATGTTTGTCAATTTAAAAGACATTTGCAATTCAAGAAAGGAGCAGTTGTTGACTAATACGTTAATTAGAAAGACTCGCCCAAACTAATCAGGTAATGTAACATCCCATTTGTGCGTGGAATATAATAAGTTAGCTAGCTAGCGATTGTTGGTGACATAGATTGTGCAAGACCTCAGAGGATGTTTACTGAGCAGTTTTACACCAAACTACGTCAAACAACAACAAACTGTGACGAAATGATCTTTCAAATTGGCAAACATCATATATGTACAGTAGTTCATGCCCTAATTCAAACAGGATTGATAAAAGATTTATCTCGCGCTGTTGACTTCAAAACATTTTCTTTCCAAAATAAGGTCCTATAGTGGACACCCTTGATGGAAGGGACTCTGCCTCTTAATTGAGAAATAAGAAGATTTTACAAAGCAACACTGCAGACACAGTACACACACGCCATAAACACACTGCAGACGGTAAACAGCCGATGCGGCGGTACACACACGTCCACACACACATGCAGACAGAGGAACAGCTGCAGGAGGGACAGCAGGGTCTCGGTGGTGGCGGTGCGGGGGGGGGGCGGTATGAGCGTAGCACACACAGAGTCATGTGATCTGTACCGTTACGGGATTGGTTGGCGTTGGATGCAGCAGGAAGCTCATTGGGCTGAGTGGAGCCAATGGCATTGCAGGGCGGGGTCTTAGGGTTACCTGGGCAGCAGGTTAAGCACAGCGGAGAAAGCAAAGCATTACACACACTCTTGTCCACAAGCTAGACAAACACACTGACATAAACAGTGAACAAACAACTTGATCCACACAAGACTTAAGGCAGGGGGTTGACATACCTCTTGATGCTGAAATGATCAAGTCAAAAAGATTCAAAATGCAACCAGGCAATAAAGCAGTGAGTAAAACAAAATGAATGCTACATTCAAAATTAGCCTGTGAGATCAATGAAGTTATACAAAAACTGTTAAAAAAGACTAGTAGTAGTTCAAGGACAACAACAAAGCTGAGAGTCAACAGGACACACTGAGATACCGGTAGTTTGTTCAAATGTCTGCTCAAACCATGAAGGCTTTAACATATTTAAAAAACATCTTGATAAATCCCAACTTGGGAATCCAGAGGATCATCAATTTAAATAACACCACCCAACTGAAGTCCCTAAAAACATTCATGTATTCTGCATATTATTTCACACTTCCTGACAACATATTTTCAGTGTTTGAGCTCTGAAGTTCATTCTGACAGATTTTTGTCCTTGCAGAACTCTGGGATCTCCACTAGATGTTAAAATCCTTTCTGTGGTTTGAACAGTGTTCGGCTGCTCAGCATGTTTCCTGTGTGCATTAGCAACATGCTGAAGGAGCCTATTATAGCCGCTTGATTTATAGCTTATTATTGGCCGATCAACCGGCTCCATATGTCTTTCAATTTTCCAGAACATAAAGCATGTCCACACGAATAGGTCAGTTGAAAGGTATCCCATGTTCAGAGAGCCGCCTTCGACATAAAACGAGCAAATGCAGCTTTTATCAGATTTGTAAGTGGACCAGCTAGGAGAAAGGATGCGACACACACACACACACACACACACACACACACACACACACACACACACACACACACACACACACACACACACACACACACACACACACACACACACACCAGTGAGTCCCTGTCCTTTAAATGGAGTGGCGCTGTAAGATGAGATGCTGCTGTTTCTGCTGCAGTGAGCGTTCTGCAGACCGACTGATCCCAGAGCAGCCTCACTGCCTGTCAGCTGGGCCCCGTCCAAACCAGGACCCTCATCCCAGGTCAGTGCCAGGACGACTGATGGCTCAATAATAGATGGCGTTATGAATGCCCCGCAGGATGTAAGGCCTAGCTGGGGGCCCTCTGGCTCCTCAGTGAGACGTCTCAAAAAGGACGATGTGATACGGAAGATAAACGGAGACACGGACGCTGGCTTGTGTCGCACTTTGTCTGTGTTTATGTCAGCGGCCTTGGTGAATTCAAGGTTAGAGGTGTAACTCTTCTGGGAATCGGAGCTGCCTCCTAGCTTGGAAATTAAACAACGCACACACACACACACACATACAAACACACACCTGTAGCACAAAACCTCAGAGTCAGTATGTCTGAAGGTAAACACACACACACCGCCTCTCTAACCCTGATGGTGTCTGGAGACAAAGCGAGGAGCAGCTCCTGCACTGCAGCCTCCACACCCTTTTCCATGCACTGGCCTTCCTCCACCTCCATCACCTCACCCACAGCCTCCGCTTTGTCCCC